GGTGTCTGCAGGGTTAAGGCACACACGGAAAAATGAGCGAGAATAGTTTACTGCCGTCCGACTTGTTCATGCAGGGAGGGAGGGAGGGAGGGAGGAAGTGAGGCTGTACCCAGAACCACCTGCGACGATGTTTTTTGTCCCATCAGGCACTGGGATCTTAACCCACAATCCCAATGGGCGCGGGAGACTGCAGGAACTATGGGATAGCTATGGAATTGCTACCCACAGTGCAACGGTGCAGAAATCGACGCTAGCCCCGGTACTTGGACGCACACCACCGAATTACTGTGCTAGTGTGGCCGCACTCATTTCGACTTTATACAACCTGTTTCTCAAATCCGAATTATCTACATTCGGATTAATCCCGTAGTGTAGACATACCCTTAGACACTGCTAGGTTGATGGACCAATTATGTCAGCCTAGCTACCATCTCTCCTTTTTACTACTGCCACAGAAAAGCCTCCTCTGTCGCTTTAATGTAAGTGTCAACAGCCCCCTCAGCGTGGTCTTGTAGTGGAATTGCACCTGCTTATGCCGACTCAGAATCTGGCCAGTGTGTACCGGGCAGGAGCGCTGCCAGTTTTTTTGCAGCCCTAGGCGGCAGAAGGTCCTGCCCCGAAATGCCACCCCCCACAGAGGCGGCGGAAGGTCCCGCTGCCGAAATACTGCCGCAGTCGCCGCCCCCCAAATTTTAGCGCCCTAGGCAACCACCTAGGTCGCCTAATGGGTTGCGCCGGCCCTGGTACCGGGATCGGTACAGATGACCCATTTGTTCATTAGTATTATCGGTACTACTGTGTTGTACCCAAAGGACCCATTTGGGATCTAGTCTCCACTGCACTGTTCAAACATTTAGTAGGAGATAGTCCCATAATGACACTCAACAAGTCAGAAACAAAAAAAGGAACAGGTTTATAACATACAGTTAAAGTGATAGTACCTAATTCTGATGTAGTACTTTTTCATCTGTAGATCTCAAAGTCTTCCCTATCCCTCTAAAATAGGGAAGTGTTATTAACCCCTTTCTGATAGGGGATTTGAGACACAGAGAGACTAAGGGCAGATCTACACTTAAACCAGCTGCATCAGCGCTGCTGCATCTTGCGCTTCAGTGAAGACACTACTATGCTGACAGGAGAGCTTCTCCTGTTGGCATAATTAATCCTCCTCTGCAAGAGGCAGTAGCTATGTTGATGGGAAAAGCCCTCCCGTCCACATAGTGCTGTGCTGTCTACTCTGGGGGTTAGGTCAGTATAACTGCGTCACTAAGGATTGTGTGGATTTTTCACACCCCTGAGCGATGTAGTTATACCAAAGTTTATAGTTTAGATGTGGCCTGAGTGTCTTGCTTGAGATCATACAGCAAGTCTGTGGCAGTACAGGAAATTGAACTGTGTTTTATGGATGCTAGGCAAGGACCCTAACATTGGACCATCATTCCTTTCGAATTCATAGCTTTATTTTAAAAATTACATTTAACCCACACCCCTGAGATATACTTTTTCTAGACATTTTAATTCTTCTCTTCTGTATGTTTTATATTTAACCTGCCTTTTGTGTTGTGTTATCACTAATTAGGTTTTTAATAATTATTTTTAATTTTAACCTTATTAAACAATTTTATATTTTAAAATACTTTTTCACGGAACCCTTTGCCTTATTCCAATTATTTAAAAAGATACATAGCCCTTGACTTTTGTTGTACTTTTTCAATTATTTTAACACTTGCATTTTTGTATTTAGCTTGTACAATCCTGCAAAATGATCCACATGGGCAGATCCTTACACCTGCATAGACTCATTCCATGCACATGAAACGGCTTGCAATGTATGTAAATTATTCTTCACTTTTTCCTTTTTCTGTTATTTTATTTATATTTAACCCTATAATGTTTCTATTTAATTTAAAATATTATTATATGTCTTGGCATATTTTAAGTTTACCTGTCTCTTATCATATGCATATACTTTAAGTTATGTTACAGCGTTGCCTGCTCTCACAATTTTACATATGTTTTGCCATTTTTGGTGGTTTTCTTACAGCTTCAGCCATTGGAGTAATGAGAATCTGAGTTTCCTTAAAACAAATGAAAATGACTAGCCCTCATGGATTCAGGGAAAAGCTGGAAAATGTGACCCGAGTGTCGCCTAAAGGTTCAAAAACCAGAAGACAGGACAAAGAATTCCAAATGTATCATAATTTAAAATATCATGATTTTTAAGGTAATCTTGTGATTTATTGGGGCCTGACACTTGATTTTTTAACAGTTGGGGGTTTAGTAATACCGATGTTATGACAATAATTCAGTAAGTTCCCTTAGCCATTCAATCATTCTCCCATATTTCCCCATCACCTCTCCTGCCTGCTCCTCTCTACCCTGCATGGGAGAAAAGGGGGCCTTTTATAGATCATTGACTGGGAGGTGGGAGACAGAAGCAACTATCCCAAGTGGTTGACTGGAGGCAGGGAAGTAGAAACCCTTGTTTTCCTTATTGCCTTTGGCATGACACTTTCCCTGGCAGGCACTGGGCAGCAGAAGCCAGGAATGAGAGATCTGTGGGCTCATTGCCTCATTGGGCAACTGAGGGGAAAAAATGGAAGAAACTTTTGCCCACCAATGCAGCCACCTTTATGATGGAATTTGGCATCCAGGGGTTTTGACAAGGTAGCTGAAGAATCACTTTTAAAACTGAAACTATATACTTCCCTATATATTTTGTGGCCATATTTGATAATTCTTCCTGTTAAATAATGGCATATTATCCAGGATTCCATATTTCTGTGTGCTCCTCTCAATCCCTTGGACAGTTACTGCGGGGGATTTAGTAGGAATAATTGTCATTTCTATAGTGCCTGTCATCACCCAGGGTCCAAATCCCTTAACTGATACAGGAATCATTTTACCCAACACTGCCACCTCTTGGGGAGGGGAGATGTGACAGCTGTGTACCAGCACTCACCGAACACTGAACACGACAGGTTAGGCAAGGTTATCAAGGTGGGACTACCAAATTAGGAAATTAAATATACACGAATGAATAAATAAAAAAATGTAAATGTTTCCTTGAAACATATTGTAAAATCCATCACTAGAATAAGATCAATCATCATAACAATCATTAAAGTATCATTGTTATAATAATTTAAACCATAGCAAGGAGGTTTATCTCCAAGTGGGTGGGAACTTGGCAGGTCAGCTCTAGGGCAGGAAATGTGTGAGAATAGTACAGTTGAAACAGCAGGGGAATTTCAGGAGGCAGAATGTAATTTTCTGAGTTGGAATTTGGCAGGGACAACAGGACTAACATCCGGTTCAAGGGATGTTCTTTGCTGTTGAGTCTTAGGGAGCCATTTGTTTGCATGACACTTTTTTCAAACCCAATTATCCCTGCCAGTAAAAAAAAGCCTAGTAACAGAACTCCTTGTCTTTCAGTCTCTCAACATTTCAAATTACGATGTATTCCCCTTGGTTCCATACCAAATCAAACCAAACTGATATACAGTGTATGACAGACTGCTGGGCTAATTTAACACCAGGATAAAACTATTGCATATTATTTCTTTATCCTCTGTTAAAAATAAATTTGGTGCTCATGAAAATTGCCCACTGACAGGCCCACAGGCTAGACTGCTGTTCCACCAGAAACTGGGGGCAGCATGGGGAGCAGTAGTGAAACGTCCTCTACCCCACCTCATCCCACAGCCTCTTCCACCCTCACCTACAGGAACTACTCCCACTCAAATCTTTGTTCTCTTGGAGACTGTCAACAATATTTTCAATTGTGATGGTGGTTTTAAATTAAGTGGAACTAGGAACTGGACTGAGAACCACCCAGTCATTTCACTTAACAGCCTTCAGAGAGTTACAGTTTCATTCACTAGTGACCACATAGGCGCCAATTCCGTGGGTGCTCCAGGGCTGGAGCACCCATGAGGAAAAATTAGTGGGGGCTCTGCACCCCCACCGGCAGCCAAGCGCCCTGCCCCACCTCACCTCCTCCTCCTCCCCTGAGCACACGGCATCCCTACTCCTCCGCCTACCTCCCAGCACTTGCCACCGCCAAACAGCCGTTTGGTGGGGTAGCAAGCTCCAGGAGGGAGGGGAGAAGAGCGGGAACGTGGCGCGCTCAGGGGAGGAGGCAGGGAAGAGGCGGGGCTGGGCAGAGATTTGGGGAAGGAATCGGAATAGGGGCAGGGAGGGGGCGGATTGGGGAAGGGGTTGGAATGGGGGTGGGAGGGGGCGGGGCAGGGGGTGGAGTTGGGGCGGGGCCAGGAGGGCGGGGGGGGGGGGTCGGCCGACC